CACAGACACACACACAGAAATAGACAAACACATATATAACAGCAAGGCCTGGGAAGTCTTTTGTTCATCCTAATGAAATGAAGCTCTGATTTTGTAGTCCCACTCCTGTGGTGCACACACTATTCCTTTCCAGTAATAGATCCAGTTTAATGTGAATGATGATTAAACAAGGCTGTGAGGCTACTTAGGTACAGTGGAGCTATGAGCAAAATGCTAACATCAGCATGCTAATGTTGTCACAATGAAAACTGTTAACAAGCTTATGTTTAGCAGGTTTTGCCATGTTCACCATCAGAGCTCAGAGTGTTAGCATACTAAAATGTGCTTATTTAAACACAAAGTAAAGCTAAGGGGGACATGCATGATTACCAGATTTCATGGCAATCCCTCCTATCGTTATTGAGACATTTCACTCAAAGCTGTGCACACTGTATAGTTTAATGCTGCAAGTTTCCATCAAATCTTTGATTGGGAGAAAAAACAGGAGGCCTGCTGGTAGCTGACAGGTAACATCATTGGACTGTAACTGTACATTCATTTGATTAGCTATGAAGCAAACCACTGGGGCTCATCATTAGCCAGAGTTCTTGACCGCACAGGTTAATCCCAGTAGTCTGCAGGTCAATTGAATTCACCCCATGTTGCCAAAGCTCAAATGTATTATCTTCTTGAGCTGCTGAGAGGAGTACAGTGTAAATGTTATTTAACAGCTTGTTAATTTGGGCAAACTCAGCAAATCAGTTGAAAGCCCAAAATGAGATCTGTTCCATTTGACCAGTCAAAAAATGGGACATTAAATTTCAATGTGTTCTCTTTGTCAGATCCCTCTAGGTATGAGGAAGCCTAGCACTATACACATACAGCTATGGCTCCAGCTGCATACTCTCATATATAGTCTAGCCTTGGAAAGTTTGCGGATGGTCAGTAAACTATTAATTAATTTGTTTGCTGGCTGAAACCCGCCAGCAGCCCTGACATAGTTTTGGCAGTCTATTTATTTGCACTTATGCCTGTTTGTGAAACTCCTGGCATCAAATGAGACAGTTTCTGCCCAGTAAACTGCAGTAGCATAGCTGATCCAAAAGATCATAATGAGGGACATCCTCTGACCTTGTAGCATATTTGGGCTGCTATATAGTAATGTGGCATATTTGTGCCTTGAGACTTTGTGCCTGTCATTTAGCCTGGACTTGCCTCTGCTGCTTCTTTTAAAAGGTATGAGAGGAACTGATGTGATTGGCCTTTCTTGAGGCTCGCCAGAAGCACCTGCTGATACTGCATTCCTCTTCCTAACAGTGTATTCAACCAGCATATGTCTGGTTGTGATTGGTCTGTGCTGCATTAGGACTGTGCTTATGCCTTTGGTCACCAGAAATTGGTCACATCCCCATGCACATGCCAGAGTTTGCAGTAGTGACTGCACTAGGGTACTGTTTCAAGAACAATTAGACCTTTGTTGAGTAGTAAGTGTTTCTACCATCACTTAACACTATAAACTCCCTCTCATTCAGCAGCAGGGTGGCTCAATACTGTAGTGCTGAATATACTGGAATGCTCAAAGTTAAAGTCATTAGACCAAATTAGCAGGGACCACACAAACTGCCATTATTGAAAACCCTCCCATTGTCTCACTAACTGAAAGATTACTCCCTCTACACAGACCAAACAATAATGGCTCAGCGTGCGAAGAGATCTTACACTCAGATGATAAATAATATTCTTCATGCTTTGTAACCAAAATTAAAAAATAATCACTGCAAAATCATCTTTGTGTCTTTCTCAGAGTGTAGTCTTTTGAAGAATATAATCACATTTTAAAAATGTCCACATTCAATCTTGACTGATAAATAATCACACAATTAAGCTGCAGGGGTTTGGTAATGGTAAAGAGGTTATTAAACAACTTTACAAAGGGAACAATGTGTTATTTTTAAGACAAAGAATAGCAAAGAGTTGGTGTGCTAGCACAATGCACTGCATCAAACAATAAATGCACAGTATTAGCAAAACACAGTCCCACTGGTATTCCAAGAGTAAAAATCTAACTTACACCCTTAATTTATTCCAGCTCAATTATATCTGTTTGAAATTTTGATTCATGAATTCAGAAGTAGAAGACCCTCAGGGACAACTTTGAACTCCTTAAATTATATTAGGAATATAGGGACAGCTGCTTTTCTGTGATTTTTGCTTGCGATGAAAAATAAATAGGTCTGTAGGTAGATAAAAAGAAGCTACTTTTAGACTGCACACCCAACCGAAAAATGCTCTTTCTTTCTTATTAGGTCTAGAGGTAGCACTGGTTCAAAGCCACGTTTAAAACTATGATCATGTAGAAGCTTGTCAGAATAATGGGCTCCTTTTTATTCTTTGTTCTTTTGAATGATGTTGTTTTTCTGCACGTCTATAACCCTCGCAGAAGTGCTTCACTGCAGGCGGTAATGGGCCAGTTAAGTTCTACACAGCAGTGTAATCTCTACACTGATGCACTGGGCCACCCTCTCTCCATCCGATTCATCTCTGTGTGTCTCTTTAATTGGATTTGTGTTAAACTTTCTTAATGCTCTCTGATGTGCCAAAGCCTCTGCAGGCCTCTCGACCAGGGAGGGAATAGCAAATGGGAAAAAATGTGTTTGAGAGAAATGCCCGGATACTGTTTGAGAATTGTTCAAATACCATGGCATTTTAAGTGGGCGTAAATACTTGTGGCTTCTGTGATTAAGATTCATTTGTGTGGTACCATACTGACTGTAACACTTGCTCACAGTTTTGAAAGATCTGCAACATTAAGTACAATAAAGTTCTTCTAGGTGACCAATTAACCCAGGCTTCCAAGTAGGATGAGGGTTTATTAAAAAGCTCCAACAGATGCAGTATATATATGCCCCAACTCTGACAAATATTCAGTCATTTGAAGACGTCTCACGGGGTAGATTTGTGACTAACAGCAACAAATTCCTGACATTTCAAGTAATTGGCTCCACGTACCTAAACATGCCTCTTTGATCTCTGTCTTGTCCGTCCTCTGAATTATCTTTACCACAAATATCACCGCCAACGGGGTAAGGAATGAAATTGCCTGTGAGGAAAAAAAGAGAAAGAAATGTGCAGTTATTGTGACATTAGAGATGCGCCGCAGCATTCCACAGGGTCTTTTTTGCAGGTTAATCGTAATATGACTTTCCTCAGGGAATGACAACAACCCTTTCCATTATTCAGAGTTAATTTTAACAAGACAAACTGAGGAGCCAAACAAGCTTCTTTATTGTTCAATGAGGCTTCTTGTCTGCACAGAGAAGAATTTTGCCCCTGACTTGATAAGAGATTTGGGCCTCCTCAGCACCTAGGTAATTATTCATGCCTCAGACTGTATTCATTACTCTCTGGCCAAATTCAATATATTTTCTTTGTAACAGAGGTAGTAAAAACAAAGGCACAGTTTCAGTTCCATTTTTATAACACATATTGAATTCCTCTTGAGTGCGGTTTGTCAGTCCAACTGTGTTCACATCTGTGTAACTCTGCCAATTATGAACTCATTTTGTACCTCACTATCCCCTTTGAAGTAGCTGAATTCAAACTTGTAATTGCACTTGGAGTCATGCTTGTAAGTGCTCTAACAGTTACTGCCTGAATTCAAAATGAAATTGGCCACAATTTCTTTATGTGATCACGAGATGGGTATAGGTAGAGTCAAATTGTCACTTTAAGACTTAGATACACTTTACTGCTCATACTGTAGCTATGAACTACACTCTCTTGTCACCCCATGAATAGATGGAAACATTTAACAGTGCCTTGCTCTGTTGAGGGATCTATTGTATGCTGCATACTGAATAGAACCAGGAGCTTGAATAAGTCACGCTGGCTAAATAGGTGGACAGTGTTTGCAAGAAGCAACCACCAAAAAAGGCCAATAAAAATACTGTTTCCTGGCAAAAATGGATTAAATCAACAAAGCTGTGGCAGCTCAGCAGCTGGTGGCATCCATCATGATTGCCAAAAATGCACCCTGTGTATCAGCACCCTTTCTGTCACAGCAGCTCCCATCACTTCATCACTGAGGTTGTGAGGGAATCCAGTGGCAAAAAACACATATATTTCTCTGTTCAAGACTTTCACATCTCCTCAGAATGTATGAAGGGTGAGACAAATATGCTGAATAGCACCGGTACCAAAGGTGGCCCGTGTGGTGGTTGATTTGGCAGTTTTTGACATTTGCTTTTACAATTTCGGACACTATTTCACTTATAGTAGCTCTTCACATCCTAAAATTATACATTGGCATTTGTGGGAGTCTAATACAGTTGTCAAAGATGTGAGGAGTCATATGTAGATGAGGAAAGCCGGATTTATGAGGATTTGAGTTCCCATGGAAACACATTAAAGTGTCCCAAAACTTATGGTTTGGCAATCTAAATGATCTTGTCTCATAATATTTTGTGGCAATTTAAAGACACTTCTAAAAGAGCATCCAAGCCTTTCCGTTAATAAAGAGAGCATTTTGCAACATGGCCTTAATTAAGGTTCGTAATACTCTTTTTCACATTTCTGGATGCTCTTGCATGTTCACTTGACACACCCCTATGAAGACTACATACTGTATGTGTGAGTTTAACTTTGTGTTACTGGAAATTAACAAGTAAGTAAAGTAAGTAAAGTCAAAGGTCATATGTCTCTTGCTATGTGAACTGTTAACAACATCTCTTTCACGTGGGTGAAAAAACCAAACAGACATCTCCACTTGTGTAAATCTCATTAAACAATTGATCTGTGGCTTTCACCAAGTGCCTGCCTAGAGGGTTGACTATACTCACATTTGTAGCTCTCAGGAAGATTCCCACTGTCAATAATGTATAGTTGAGCATAAATAATTCTCAGTTTTCAGTTACCTTAATACTTAGTTGCATTTTGTATATCTCTTCTGGAAATGTTATTTGTTTTACCTGCTAATTACATGAAAACGGGAAGAGCAAAGATTTCCTTGAACCCTAGATTTGATTGTAAGACACAGATTTGAGGGCTGTAATCTACAGTATTAGCCTGCTTACACATTCTGCCGACAGAAATGTGACTATACTGATCAGGAGGTTTGCACTCCAATATCACTGGGCCCAACAATAAATAAAAATTTTAGCACCGAGAACATCCCTGCCCCTCCTATAATGACAGAATCCAAGAGTGAGTGACTCTTGAGCCAGGCAACCTAATACAGTATATATCTTAACGAAGGTCGCAGAGTCATAATGTAGCTTCATGTAAATCCCCTCTACAGACTATTTTTAATGGCCAGATAAATTCTCCACACCCTCAGGGCAACTGTCAGCTCAATGACATTGAAGAAGCCTGACTGTTGGGTGTCTGTACTGAGAGAATTTTCCCTGAGAGGCATGTGGGTGAGGGGGACCTTCTCTTCCACTCATTATTTAGGAGCCTGCCATAAGCAAAGATCCATGGACATTGAAGTTAATATAAACTGTCAACATTTTTATAAAGGGAACAGCAAATAAAGTGCAAATATGCTGTAGATAATCTCAAGGGTTTATCTATTGCTTTTTGCTGGACGATCAGCACCACAGACAAACGGTGACAAAGTTTAATTGTAGGCATTTGTGTTTTGTTTGTGTGTTTTCTGCCTGCATTGGTGGAGGTTTTCTATGACTAATGCAATTTAAATGCTATAATAAACACCCTACAAATGATTTGTTGATGAGTAATTTAAAGCTCAGTTTTTCCTTTATGAGCAAAACCACTTCTGCTAATGTGTTAACCCCTTGTATGTTAATCATCGGTGAAATTGGTCTGACACAGTCTTCTAAACATCATTAAGTGGAGTCAAGCTAATCCTTAACATACAGTATCTACTGTCTAATTCAATATTGTATTACATATACTACATTTCACAGAATGGCAAGGTTTATTATTGACATTTTTTCTAGCCTAAAACTGTCAGTCAGCGCTCTCCAACTACTCTGCAGCTGTTTCTGCACATAATGAGATGACTGATGTGTGTGGAGGTGCATAGGACACAGCGGAGCACAAGCCAGTCAAATGCTGTCAGTTCACAGAGAGGTGAACAAAACTAGCAATGGGCAAGCAGGTCCTTGCCTATTAAGTTGATTTGATATTTTGAACAAACGGTGATTACCTACTAGATAAGTTAACGTGCAGACAAAGGTATCCAACTTCACAGTACTAAACATATCAGCCTGTCAGAGAAAATATTAACTAAAAGTGAATACCAGCTCATTTACAAAATATAAACAGATATTTCTTGTAATCACAATAAATTAGCTTGTAATGTTCTGTGGGTTTTTCTAATGCCATTTTGAAGCAACATCTGCAACAATATCTGCCATTTCTGTCACAAAACAATACAAACCCTGCTACAGAGACCTGTTAAATGTGGTTGAAAACGAGAGTATAAGAGAATAGGGCATATAATGAAATCCTCAGGAGGACCGAGTTCTGCCCTAGAGCACCAGTAAGGAAAACACATTTAGAAGGTATTCATATTATAGCAGCTGTAAAAAGCTACTCTGCTCCATATGAGGCACATTCAGACGAGAGTACATGCTGTTCAGGCTTTCTGTTTAAAGTTACAGAACTGTTGCAACTGTTCTATATATTTCCTTCGGCCGGGTGCTGTGACCTCCTGGAGGTTCTGCTGGTTGCATGGCAGGGACAACAAGACAGCAGAAAGTCACAACGCCTGGCTGCTAAGACGTAATTACAGTCCATAACTACTCGTACAAACACAACCTCCTGTTTTTGTATGAATGGTTTGTGTATGGATTCAATAAAAGGAGATATAATGTGTTAATAAGTGAGATGTAGATGTGATGGTAAGTGTGTTTTTAAACTTTGGACAAAGACTACTCTCTTTAAATAGATATCTGCATATAAATGTAGAATCTGTAAGGCACCAAGATTCTGGCATCTGAAGCTTTCTGGTTTCCGTTTGTAGTGAGAGTAGTATTGACCAATCACATTTGACCGGGCTTTGGTTGCCTGCAGGTAAACTGCCCATGCGGAGAGCCAAAGAGCCGGAATGCAGTGGCCTAAATGCAATCTTGGAACCCATCGGCTATCGTCTGCAATAATTTTGTTTTTTATTAGCTTTTTTAAAATGACTCTGCATTCATATGCCTCCGAGCTTATCAATTCCTATTATTGATGTTGTCAGGTTTTTGTAACAAAACAAGGACATCAAACTCAAGCGTCTATGCTGAAGAAAGAGGAAGAAGAGGAAGAGGAAGGTGAAGAGGAAGAAATGGTCCAATGTATGCAACAGTTGTATTGCCTGTTAAACTATAATTTCAGATAAACAGCACTAAAATGCTAAAACATCTTTCTGCGCAACATAGGCTTAAATTTCAGGAATGCCATGTATTTGATGCTCTACGCAAGAATGCCACATCTGTTACCAAGGGTAAATATCATATAATATAATAACATCAGCATACAGGATTAGATTTTTTCTTTGACTAAGAAAACCTGAATGAAACAGTTAAACACACCTGTGTCACATGCATGCATTTTTTCTATTCTGTTTTTACACTGTTCTGTTCTATTATGTTTGTTCAGACTCAGAGATAATGAAAACTGTTGCATTGATGCCAAAAACATGTGTAGCCCTACTTTCCCCCAAAGTAATCAGTAGGAATGGATTGGAATCGATAAAGAATCAGACTGATAAGCAAAATCAATAATGAAATTGGTATCAATCCAATCTCACCCATTCCCATCCTTAAAATGGGAGATTAGACAGAGACAGACTAGCTGTTCCCTCTGCTTCCTGTCTTAATCGCCTCCTGGCTCTAACATCGTACTTATTGCACAGACATGAGGTAGTGACAAATTTCATCAAATTTGTGCTAAGACAGAAAATCAGCATATTTCCCAACATTTTAAATAAAAAATAAAAAATAAAATAAATAATACTATAAAAATTGTCTCCCAAACATGTAAATGGCAGATGGAAATAGTAGAAGCATAGTATTCTCAGGTTTACCAACAGATTGTTTGTTTTGGCATCCTTGGTGTCATATTGTACCATAATCACTCTTTGAAATAGGACTATCTAGTCTCCGTTTTCTGAGTCTGGAAGCAATGTGTGACAACTGCATTAGAATGAGTTCTGTAATGACCAGTATGATGTACTGGAGCTAGTGACTGTCACTGAGAACTCCACTAAGAACAATATGAGGCTTCAATATGTGCTGGATAGAAGTGTTTGCCAAGAGATTCTTTAGGTTATTTGCTCAGTGTTCAGTGCTCATGAGCCAGAGGAAAAGATATTTTCAGTCTGTGCTGTGTTGGTTGGAAATTCATCTTAACCCTGCACCGCCCACTTCTATTCAAGAGGAGATGATGTTTACATTGGAAGCGCTAATCACCGCTGTTCCATTAATGCCCTTCTCATATCTATCAACACTATTCAGGCCTCACCTCAACAGTGGAAAGAAGAGGCTTTGCAATATTGATCGTCGTAAATGAAGGATTTCTGCACCACAAAGATTACTAAGAATTAAACACGGGATGGAGTTCAGTGATTGCAATAATGACCAAGTATTTAGTGGCAATCAAGTCTGTAATAAAAGGAATATATAATTAGACAGCAGGTACTCACGAACATGACCCTCTTGGGAATGTGGTCTGACTCAACTAAAGGATTCTTGTAGAGCCAAAGCTCCTCTGGTTGAATCACTCTCTCAAAGGGCTCCAGGAACTCTGTAAATCTGTGGTAAAGAACAAATGTACACTGATCAGTTACTCATTTTTAGACATTTAGCAGATGCTTTTACACAGAGCAGCATACAATGTACCATATGATTATTGTTATGATATCATGTGAATATTTCTGCAGTCTGCCATGTAGTGGCTTTGAAGGGCACAGGGAGAAGAGGACCTGTTGGTTGTTCCACAAGGATAAACTGAGGCCATGTAAGCGGGGAGACTTAACTCAAGATCACCAACACTGAAGAGCACTGCTGTTTCACACTCTCACTGAGCGTGAGACAAATTAGCATGCTCCTGCTTCCTCCAGCCCTCCCTGGCCACCCAGTGATCCGTCAGACACGACCTTGTTCTCTGTCGTCTCAACAACGTCTTTTTGTCACCGCACTCTAAAACAATTCAATAGGCTGCTCTTTTGCACAGTCGGGGTTGAGATACT